CATAATATGTAATTGAGAAATCTTAACTTGTAATTGAGAACACATAAATTAAAATAGCAAATTCACAGTCTAAGTTTGTAGGTTGTTACAAAAGGTCTTTTTGGACATGAATTTAAGTCATAATCTTAAATTTTGCTTTTGTATGCACAAGTAATAATAATGGAATTGAAAGATCGTTGTGTTATATGCCAATACACTATGACCCGAAAGTCTGTGATTAAGCTAAATCCGTGTCAACATTTATGTCACCAAATTTGTTTACGTCCAGTTCTGGAACAACCAGATTCAAGTTGTCCGATTTGTCGGCATGAAATACACACAACTGAACAAGTTGAAAGGAAACGTTACGTTTTATCTTCTCCAAATGACAGGAGAAGAGTTGTTGAATGTGCGGAGCGATTTGAAGATTGGGTGAATCTCGCGCAAACGCTAGGTATCAAATATAAGACAGCATACAATTGGGTTCGCAGCGGAAATGCAAATTTCATCGGAAAAGGAGGTTTTAAACCGAAAAAGTTGACCGAAGATCAAATCGAAGAAACATTAACATGGATTGAAAATGATTGTCAATTAACATTGGTGGCCATCAAAACAAAGATATTAAGACAATTTAACATAAACGTTACCACAACAATAATAGCAAATTACCTCGAAGGCAGATTGTTCTCATTAAAAAAAGTGCACAAGGAGCCTTCTACAATGAACAGTTATGAAAACAAACAAAAAAGAGCTGAATATGTTAGAAACATCAACGAGCATATCACAAATAATTTGATAATTCACCAGCTCAGTTGTTACGTTTGGGACCTTACAGTCCAATGTTGAACCCGGTGGAAACGATCTGGTCCGAAATTAAAAGTAACGTTAAAAATGCAATTCGCATTCCACCTGTATTAGGTGACGGGATTGCGGAACAGCGCATGCAGTACTTAGAACGAATTGTAAATGAGGCAAAAAATACTATAATGGGAGGAGATTGTGCACGTGCGGTACAACACACAACCACGCACTATGCAACTATTTTAAATATGGAAGACGTACAAGTTGGTGCTTAAATAATCAATGAAGTGATTTTTAATTATATAAATTTTAATTATAATTTTTAATTGAATTATAAATTTTTCCCTAAAATGTTTTTAGTGTTTATTATGTTAAATTCATTTGCCCAAAAATATAAATTTTTCCCTAAATTTTTCCCTAAAAAATTAAATTTACGCTACAAATCTTGCGTCATTTTATACGCGCCATTTTTTTTAAGCACCATTTTACACTTACTCCTTTAAAGCGATATCTAAATTAAAATTTTCGTGTTCTCAATTACATCTTTCTATTTCTTAATTACAACTTACATTTTCTCAATTACATGTTACGATTCTTAATTACAATTTTCGTTTTCTAAATTACATCTTATGTTTCTTAATTACAACTTACGTTTTCTCAATTACATCTTACGTTTCTTAATTACAACTTTTGTTTTCTCAATTACATCTTACGATTCTTAATTACAATTTTT